TTCATCGTCTCTTTCACTATATCCGTAAATCTCTTCTGTGGATTGCTCCTGATTGGCATCTCCACATTCAGCATTCTTTGTCCACTATATCTCCAATCTCTCCTCTGCATATGTCCAAAGCATGTCAGCCATGTCTCTCTAACTTTGTCTACAAACTGTTGAACCTGGGCCATCCCGCTGATGTACTCATTTCTAGTCTTGTTCACTCGAATGAAAATAGGAACATCTCCAGCTCCTGTCCTTTAGTCAGTGCTGCGGAGTAGCCTTCAGACTGAAAGTAAAATCACCATAAAGGAACATGTTGACTTATTTAATTGTTAATTTGTTATTTTAATTTTATTTTTGCTTTTAAGATTTTTGCTTAAAATGTGTGTTTATGTCTAAAACATTTTTTATAATGTTCCACATGTTCTTTATACAGCTAAAACTTTTACATCAGCAAAAGTGCCATTTATTATTCCCTCATCAACAATATACAGTATTTCCAAACTATGTACATTATTTTCCACCAATTATCCATATAGTTGATAGTAATTTTTTTTTAAGAGTTGGTTTTAAATGTGTCAATTTTAAGAAGTGTTTGAACATGCTAAATGAACTGTGTAAATCTCTGTAGATTGTAAATTTCAATTTTAAAAGATGTAGTGCTTTGTGGATAGTTTTAAAAAAAACTCTTTAAGAAATTTTGTGAGGAAAAAACTGCAATGAATTTAATTATTTCATTAATTAGCAAAAATGTATTTATCTCTTAAAATTGAAAGTAAAAATCCTCATTTAAGAGTGCTTTGGGATCCACATCGTCTGGAAATCCTGCTATTTCCAAAAGCAGCATGGATACAAACTCGGTGTAATACACTTGAGTCCCCGAATAAAACAGATGGAGTTGTATACCAGTCTTATTTAAAGGACTGCTTTTATTCAGTCACAGTTCTGTGTAACAGAAAGCATTACAACATTAAAACATTCAATTTTGTACCAGTCACTAGGAAACTGTTACTTACTCTGTACTCTACTCTAACTTTGTACTGTCCACTTTCTGCTGTAGCAAAACAAATTTCCCACACGTGGGACTAATAAAGGTTATCTTATCTTATCTTACTCTCATACTGATCAGTTGGCCAAACAATAATCAAGCCTGAAAGTTACAGTGTCTTGAAAAAGTATTCATACTCTTTGAACTTTTCCACATTTTCTCACATTACAATCACAAACCAAAATGTATTTTATTCAGATTTTATCTAATAGACCAACATAAAGTGGTGCAAAATTATGAAGTGGGAGTAAAATGATACATGGTGTTAAACATTTTTTACAAATTTGAAACATGTGGCATGTATTTGTATTCAGTCCCCTGAATCAATACTTTATCAAACCACCTTTTGCTGCAATTACAGCTGCAAGTCTTTTCAGGTATGTCTCTACAGACTATATTTTTTGCTCATTCCTTTTTTCCAAAATAGCTTCAGTTCGGTCAGACTGCATGGAGAGCCTCTGTTAACGGCAATTTTCTAGTCTCACCAGAGATTCACAATAATAATTACATCTGGACCCCTGTTTGAGTCATAATCCTTTTGCAGCCTTGAACAGGTTGAACATCATGTGGCTGCCACCACCATGTTTGATGGTGGGGATGGGGTGCAGTGTTAGTTTTCCACCACACAGCATTTTGCAAGTAGGCATGTCAAGCCTGTCAGTTTAGGTGGATGAGCATGCCTTGGTAGTTTGCAGTTGTGCCACACTCTTTCCATTTTCAGATGAGGCATTAAACATTGCTTTGTGAGATGTTCAGAGTTTGGGAAATGTTTCTATAACCTGTCCCTGCTTTAAACTTTTTCATAACTTCATCCCCGTCCTGTCTGGTGCATCCCTTAATCTTCATGATGCTTTTTATTCACTGATGATCACCAACAAATCTCTGAGACCTTCACAGAACACCTGTATTTAAAGTGAGATTCAAGTTCCTACACTCTTTTCATTGGTTACAAAACTCCTGAAGGCAAGGATTTTATTAAGCAGTAACAGCATAATGGGGATATGAATGCTTTTTTATACCACTGCTTAGTCACCATTTGTTCTGCTTTCCTTATTTTAACTTTTTGTTCTTAAATGTTTGTGCTGTTGATGTTGTTGTATAGATGTTTTTAATTATGTTTGTTTACATTCTTTGCCAGGTTTGAGTTTTAGGCTTTATGTTTTATCTTTATGCATGTAATAATAAGGCTCTCTTTTTTCAAATCTAAGCATTTTTTCACTGTAAAAATAATTAAGACTAATTTTTCTGTCAAAAGAAGAAAATTGACCAAACCAGTAGACAGCCTTCAAGTTGCAACTGAAACCTGGAGACCAGTAGACCTCATCAACGAAATTTACCGGCTGTAAGATGTTTTAAATGGCTTGTTTCTAAAGCTCTTTACGCATCTTTAACAACAAGTAAAGTAATTTAATTAAATAATTTTGGTCCTGTGGGTGTATTGTAATATTGGACACAGAATTTCTGATTATAATTAAAAATATTACTCTGGTCTCAGTGTGTCCCTAAAAAGCCTGAAGAAAGTGTACAAGAGAAGGCCTAAAAAAAACCTAAAAAAAAATCTAAATCAAATGAATATTATCCATGGAATTATATTTGTCATGATTTTTCTTTTTTTTTTACGCCAGTGAAATTATTTCTGTTCTCGGCCGCAATTTAATTCCTCACGTGTAACTCAGTTTCCGCAGTACCCTGAAGTGGCCATTAAAGTGACCAATCACATTAGGACCCCGTCCTCCTTTGGGCTTCGCGTCCACACAGTCAAAAGTTGTTTTTTCGGGAAAGCAGGATTTCTCGCAGAGAGCTATGCGCGAAAGCATAAAACTGGCGTAGCGCATGCAAATCAGACAGTCTCCCGTGCGCAATGGCTTCTTTCTGCACGTGGCTGCTGAGTACTAAACGTTAAATTTACACGCAAGTGATTTAATTGCACCCGTGAAATGAAATTATTTGCTTGGTTTATTTGTTATGGGATAAATATAATTCCATAGAAGGTCTGGAGAGAGAAACAACAGTGAATATCTACAGCCACCTGTAACATATATTTATCATATTGGTACATCAAACAGCTAGACAAATGATACGTGATATGGGAGAAAATCCGCAATGGATATCCATTATGTAATGTATTTTGTTGTTTTACTGTAGCTTTGTGTGACATATAGTGTTGTGGAAAAGTCTTGAACCACATCTCATTTCGTATATTTTGCTGCCAGGGAGCAACAGAATTGTGTTTTTTGAAATGTTCTTATCTCTTAGTTCTCGCATTTTGCAACATATTTCTCTTTGTATCGATCAAAGTTTGTCTTTGAAACTTTTTTCAAAGGAATGCATTTTTTTTAAAATTCAATTAATCCAAATTTGACAATCTTGATTAAAATTCAATTCCTGGAACGGGTGAAGTCAAGTGGCTGTTAAAACGACTGTGCCCTTGCCCTGCATCCCATCTCACAAAGTCATGTTGTCAACAGCTCCCTCTAGTGTTAGAAGCTCTTTATGTGCGGTTTTGACAGTTTTTTTTGCCCTGCATTCTACGTCAACCCAGGCAAAGCGAGAAACATCCGACCAGTACTGATCCTTTAACACTGGTTTACTTGGAGTTGAAGCGGTAGGACATACTGAGGTCCTGCTTTTAGCATCACACGCACAGAAAGCTTCTCAAACTCTGCAGCTGAAGCTCTTTATGTGAAGTAAGTGCATTTGTTTGCATATATCAGCCCTCCTACAATATGTCTTTTAACATTATGAACATTTTACTGGCAGCCATGGCAGTTACTGATAATTCTGTCTACTTTCTGTTTGTAATAACTGTGTGCGCAAGCTTAGCTGGTTTTGTAGAAGCTTTATTTTAACAACGGTAAAAAGGAAAGCTGTGAGGCAGTTTTATAGATTAAAAATGTGTGTGTGTGTGTGTGTGTGTGTGTGTGTGTGTGTGTGTGTGTGTGTGTGTGTGTGTGTGTGTGTGTGAGAGAGAGAGAGAGAGAGAGAGAGAGAGAGAGAGTGAGTGACTAAGGAGAACTGTACTTTCCGTCTATGTCAGCCGCACAATTGCTAAATCACAACATGTGAGTTGTTGTATGTTTTGCATTCACTATAAGCTGGGCTTACCAAAGGGAAACGGAGTACTGTACTTTCCTTTTATGTCCACTCCACGATTGCTACATCACACCATATGAGTTGTGATGTGTTTGTGTATGTATTATAAAGGCTCATCTGGGCTTCCCAAAGGGAAATGTCAGGGAACTGACTTCACTTTTACCCAGAGAGAAAGAAAGAGAGAGGAATCTATTCTGACATAGAGCTTCTGAGGCACTGCAGCACTTTTGTCTTCTCTCTGTGTTTCAACACATGTGTTTTAACTTTTTGTTTTGGTTCAACAGAACATGAATATGAGTACAGATGATCTGGATGTGTACAGTGGAATTGACTATGACCCTAACATCACCTATGACTATCCAGGGGATGAGTCTTTTGTGAAAAGAGGCAGTGAGGCAGTGTGGGTCCCTGCTCTGTACTCCATAGTGTTTTTTGTTGGAAT